GTTCTAGCCTTCAACAGGAAGGTGCAAGTATGCATGAATTAGCTGGTGATACAGTTGGAACTCTGTGCCTGTGGTCTACTGGGTTTGGTTTTTGTTTTTAGAAAGTGCACCCTCTGGTTCTTCCCATTCTCTGTTCCTGTAGTGTCAGTGCAGTGCACTGCTACTTTTTATTCACTTGGCCATAGACCTTTTTTTCTAACACCTGCATATTCCTTCTGTCTGCTGGTTGCATTGGCAGCACTGTGTCTTTGACATTGCACACTAGCTTGACAGTGCTGTCTCTGGTTTCTAGGCTAGTTACTTAAGATACAAAGTTCCCATAGAATATGCACTGATACAACATCGCCATTCTTCTATGGAAAGAAAATTTTTGATGATTAATAAAGATTTTAAATTGCGCGTTTTGGTTTGCAGGTGTTTGGGGGATGAAAGTGTACTTCACACTTCAGTTCTTGAAGTGAGACAACCACTTCAGTAATGTGATAGAAACAAGTATGCATTAGTGATAGCATCAGGTGTGCAGAAGTAAAATTGAAACCATAGGAACAGATATTACAGAGAAGCCATGTAATAAAGAAATAAAGCTGAAACCATAATAACAAATGTCACCACAAAGCAACATTAATTCATGTTATAGTAAAAGGACTGATCTGGAAAAATTAAATTTTTATTTAATCTTTAACAAAAACAGTCACAGAAGTTTTGTTACATAAAAAGGCTACTAATGATCAAAAGTTAACCTATTAAGTTTTCAGAATGGTCTTATGACTTTATGTTTTATAAGTTTATTTGTATCACTTCTCAGCCTTTTGGCCAAGATCAAGTGCATAAGCTGTCATTAGAGAATTTTCCTTTTTACAAACATTGCAAACGTTAAAGGTGTTTTAAAATTATTCTGTGATACAATCAGAACCGAGAAAACTGCTGTTATCCTGTCAAACTTCATTTTGTCTCAGATTGTTTTAATTATCTCTTTATATGTTTTTTAAAAGCATAGGTTCTCAGTGTATGTGCCCTAACATGACTTTGAGCATAAATACCAAAATAATCCAGATTCTAAAATGTATTCTAGAATGTTTACAGTGAATGGGGAGATGTAGCACACTGGTAGAGCATGTACCTGGCATGTGTAAAGCCCTAGGTTCAATCTTTTAATACCGGTTTTTTGTTTTGGGTTTTTTTTGGCAGAACTGGGGTTTGAACTCAGGCCCTGTGCTTGCCAGGGAAGCGCTTATTCTGCTGAGCCAGCTCCCTGACCGCAGTACTGGTTTTGAAAAGAAAAGGTAGATATGATCATGTATGTCTGTCTTCCCAGCTACTTGGAATCTGAGGCTCAAGGCCAACCTGAGCAATTTAGTAAGACCTCAGAAACATACTAAAAGGGGTGGAGAGGTAGCTCAGTGGTAGAACACCCCTGATTCATTTTTCAGTACTGGGGGAAATTTTTTTAGATTGAAGGTGACTAGATTTCTAAGTTTCATAATTAAGTCAATGAATCAAACTTAATTAGTGCCAATTACTCTTCAGTAGTGCATATGTTGTAAATCCCATGGATGCTTAATGATATATGTATAATTAATTGATGGGAAATCTGAATTCATAGTCTGTGTTGTCTTTTCTGTCACTGAAGATTACAAATTCTTATTTTCTTGTCAGTGTCTTCATTTTATGGCATTTCCAGGAAAGAATATTCTAAGGAGAACATTGAAGGTAACTAAAACTTAAGTGATTATGAACTACCAATATTTTAACCACTTGATGAAAGTATTAAATGGAGCATACACTTAACGCTGTCTTACAATATATTAAAACATTTATTTTGCAGATAATTTAGGACTTTCATCATAAATGGCCAGTGAACTGTATTTTACTGGGTTTGCGTTACTCTTGGCTTTTCATAAAATTGTTTGTTCCTAGCTCCTTAGCTTCTTTTGTTTCTGATTGATAATTACAATATTTAGAAAGAATGGAAAATGGAGGTAACCACATTCACATTTTTTGTACACCATGCAACATCACTGGACATAGAAAAAGGTATCTAATAATCTAATTATTAGGGTATCTTTTACTTTTTTTACTTTTGTTTTTCTTTTTTGTATTTAGTACAGAGTCTGCAGGGTCTCACTACATAGATAGGATTCATAGTGATCCACCTGTGTTCAGCCTCCCAAGAGTTGGGATTACAGAGGCGCTTCACCAGTCCCAGTTTCAATTGCCATCTCAGCGTGCCCTGGGGGCTGGGCTGGCATGGCCCGCTAAGGATCAAACCCCGGGTGCTGCACTCTGCCAAAGCAGGCACTTTAGTCTGCTGAGCTATCTGGCCAGCCCTTCTACTTCTTTTACTAATAAAGTGTTTTATTCTCCCTACTGAGATACTTTTTTAAAAAATTTATTTCAGCAGCTGGCTAGATAATCCATGGTTGTGGAAGATAAAGAATACATTACTGCGCTGTGAAGCAGCAGAAACCTTATAATCAAGTTCTCTGCATTTTTTTTTCCCTCTTTTGTCTTTTTGAGACAACATTTCATTATGAAGTTCAGGTTGGCCTTAAAGTTACTTTGTAGCCCTGGCTGACCTTGAACTCACAGTGATCCTCCTACCTCAGCTTCCCCAGTGCTAAGATTACAAACATGCACCACCACACCCAACTTTCTGAGGTTTTATTATTATAGTTTTTTTAATTCTGCAAAATTTTATAATCAAGTTCTTCACACTTTAATGGAGTTATTCTAACCTGAAGACACTCATGCATCTTTACCTTCTTTCTGGGTCTTATATCTCCCTTCACCATTTATTTTTAATTACAAAAAGTCTGCAAATTGAGTTTATTTTTACAAGAAATGACCACCAGTCTGTTGGAGATTATTTTTTAAAATCATTTTTGGATTTAGAATCACACATTATAGTCACCATTCAGATGTTAGCTCAACTTACAGATTCCACTAGGAAGTGAAGGCAGAAAAATACCAATTTTCACAAATAATTATGACCATAAGACTGATTTTTTGGGTCTGGGGAGATGACTCAGTGGAATAAGCGCTTCCCTGGCAAGCGCAAGGGCCTGAGTTCAATCCCCGGTTCCGCCAAAAAAAAAAAGACTGATTTTTTTCTTTGCATTCCTTTTTTTTATTAATTTTATTGAGAAATAAATAGCAATGAGACTGATTTTTTTCAATTATAATCTTTTGTTTCTTTTTAAAATAGTACTAATGATAAATCAGGATTTTTTTTTTTTTAATTTGAGGCAGTAGAATGACATTTGAAAGAAACTTTGTTACAATTTACAACAGTAGAAACCATTAAGTAGAATAAAATATTAAGAAAAACCTGAACATTTCTATGTTGTTTGTAAAAGCATTGTCATTAAGTTATCTTGGTTTATAATGTGTCTGGCATTTAATATCAGAGTATCTTTGTCTTGATATATCATTTTATTGCATAACATCACATGTCTATATAGCTATGATATAAAAGTAAGTGAGCTTGTATAGATTTGTGAACCTTTCAAAAATGGGACAAATTTTTCCTGCAAGCTAGGTTTACTTAGCAGAAAACATTTGGGAATTGTTTCTAAACAACTTTAAACAGCTTTCTAGGATTAGGCTAAGATGGATTTAATTTGTTTT